TGAAGCGGCATGGATTAGCATTTATCCAGAGGGAAAGGAAACTCGTATTTAAGGCAAAGCTGGCTCTCCATGCGACAAAGTGAATGAATATCGAATCAAATGGCTATAAGTTAAAAATGGTACTTTAATTTATCCTAAAGACTGACATTCTGGCCTTGTTAATGTTTGCAATACATATCGCCTACCCAGCTACACGTGCATAATCAATTTTGTGTGACGTCGGGGCTATGCGGGTACGTAATTGGTCAATCGGTGGTACGGTAGTAGTCTGTCCATGTCTGTTCCATGTGGCTTGTTCTTACACTGTACCACTGATTATTCAGATGAAGGGCCCTGTTCATAGTTAAACCATCGTACATAATATTTGTGAATTTTTCAAAAACATACACGTGATTGAGTTTTGTTTTAGAGTCTATAAAATTTTGTTACACGACCAGAATTAAATGCTTTGCCAGGAAATCTGCATTTGTTGGGTGGTTCTGACTGATAGGATTTCTCACTTTCTAGCTTGATTTTTTTTCTGAACTTGCTGATCCAGATAATTATAAACCGATCCAGAAAATGGCAGCGGCGCTTTCGGCAATCCTGTATATCTCAAATTAAAAGCTTTAAATTTGAAAAAAAAAAGTATCTCCTTCACACAAGGCGGGCGATTAAGTTGTGGATTGTCCGTCCGTAGTCGGAGTTTTGCATCCCAAAACTACGAAAATAGTTTTTGTTTTTCATGGGACGTACTGTTTTTGTATGTTGTGTCCACATCTAGAGAATTCGCAATATTAATGCCGACAAACTCCTTGTGTTCATTCCAACAAAGCGCAATAAACTTCTTCGTACTTTGGAAACTTGTCATTTTTCATGTACAGAAATGTACTGTATGATGACCCGTCAGGAAAGTGGCATTGGTATTTCTGATGATCCCGTACAATCCAGATCATGTCCGGGCGGCAGAGATGTCTTTTTCTCAAAAGGTGGACTGTTAATCCCATTTCATGAGATTTCGTGAATCAGTTGTGCCGAATCAAATCAAGCCAGCACTCTTCGTGAACAGACTTGGTAGTGACAGTAATATCTGCACCATAGGTGCACCGATCGATATCGAAAGTATTATTTTACGCTCATTATTGCAGGTTGGACATGCAGTGTAGTTCGTTGTGCATCGTGATCGGATTTTTAACATTGGGATCGTGAATTTAACAGGGGTTTAACACGTACGCCACGATTTTAAGGACATGCCAACGTGCATTTAATTGCGGTGAACGGAATGCAGTGCCCGTGTACAAGCATGCAGCATTTCCCTTCTTCATGTTCACAGGTCAGTGACACCACTTAAGGCATTGGGGGTGCGGTTTACCCAATACATGTTTCCGCTGTTGGGCCAACCCTTTTTAGTGCGTGTATTGAGGACACTCTGCATGGTATATCAGGAAGCGTGTATTTTGCTAACGTGTGTGTGATCAATGTATCGTGTCATCGTGTGAACCTTTACTTTGGCCCTAACTGTAGGCTGGACAGGGGTATGTGAACACAGGAGACTCCTCCCCCTCATTAGTGTGGGTCGGGTCCCACACTTACCCCTGTCCAGTCGCTCATGCCCGTCCTTCCCCACTTTGGCTCTGGGAACTTCTCCGCTTCGAAAAGAAGGACAAACATGGCGGTGGGACCGCAGTGCATTGTAGAGGGTCAAGGGGCAGCATGCATAATCATTTCTTTTCAGTGAATTGTAATAGGCACATTGGAAATTTGCATATGTAGGCTGGACAGGGGTAAGTATCACCAGGAGACCCGACCCACACTAATGTGGGGGAGGAATTTTGGTTACAGTGTAAAGGAAGAAAACAATGTACAATCAAAAGAATAGTAATTTCCCTATTTCAGGTTTTGAAAATTTATTCAATTTAACTGCAGCTCAAATAGTCCTAAATTCCACTGAAGCTGTTGTCAGTAGTCACCTCTGTGTTTATCAGATCTTATACAATTATTTTCAAAATATTTGACTTTTAATTCGGACTGATTGGATTGACGAAAGTGACAACACTTGCCCAAGATTTGGATCAGTTTGTCCAGTTCACTAGTCGCTTCTATAGCTTCTTCACGTATGATGAAGAATCAAAAGAAAAATCAATTTTTCATCCAGAATTGCAGCAATACGTGTATGCCAAATTTCGATTGAAGAATTTCTTGGTTTGAAGAAAACTGCTTCATTTTCCGGTAAATTAAACCGGGAACTTGGGTAAATTTTGACTAGACTTCAACTGCCCAGTTCGTTATGAGCTACCACGTGCATGCAAGCCCTGCAAAAACCCACTACGTCACACAAAAACCTTTTACGCATGTGTAGTTGAGTTTGCCATACATGTACCTGTGTAATGTATGGTTGATTTCCTAAAAGTATGTGTTGTGATTTTTCCTAGTTCCGTATCGCTTAAAATAAAAACGTACCTCATTTGTTTTGATCTTCAGTTCTACATTTCACAAGATGGGATGTTTGAATTTGAAACGTGAGCTTCTTGTTGAAATATATTCTGGCCGAAATTTCTTGAACAGAAATTTCCGCCAGAATATATTTTGTCCTAGAAGACCGTATTAAGGATGTCTGACTACTTTGGCACTCTTTGGTAACCAGGCACAGGTGCTCCCTGCTGTTTTTGGCTTTTTCCACTTTTGATGGGGGGATGTTTTCTATGGCAATTTCCCTCTGTAGGGGCTATGCCAGGAAGGGGTTCTCAGTCACATGTTAAATTTCACCAACACATTTTTAAAAGGTTGACGCTTGGAGTACTTCTCACTAATACCCGGAAAATATGTGGTTTCTTTGGGGTTATGGTGAGGATCCTTACAGGTAAAAAAATGTCAGGGGACCAGTTGAAACATGTCCAACAACAACAAAATCATTAAATGTTTCCAAAATCTACCACTGTAAACACTAACCCTTCTCTCACTGACTGTTCTGCTCACGTAGAATGCATTCCCAGCACCAAATACGTATTAGAAATATTTAAAAGCACTGTGACTTTGGGACCATCCTGTCCAGTGATGACTCAGCATAGTGACATGAATGTCATAGAATCTACTTATTCAAAGGATGTCATAGAATTGCCCTTCTTGTAAATATCGGCCACATGATTGCTTGCAGTCCAGGTGCAGGACCAACTCATTTTTAAATGGTTGGTATGTTCCATAATGATTTCCAAAAGGCCTAAACCAAATATAAACTGCATCTCTTTGTTGAGTGGGTCTGCACATATTTCTTATTTGTACCATTTATTTGTTTTTATTTAAAAAGAGACTTGTCACACATTTTTCAAAAGAAAACAACCTCCTGTTCAGTGTTTTGGTACGTAATCTTTACAACAGATAGACCTAATCATTACTGTGTTCCATACTGTGCAAATTACTGTCCATATACAAAATACAGTTCCGGTATTTGAACAATGACTAGAATATTGGTTTTATCACATGTAGTGACTATCCTCATGGTCTGAAGAAGTGTTTCTGCTGTAAGCACTTGCCCATATAAAAAACACCAACAGACCCCTTTCGCCTTTGTAGGCCTGTGTGACTTGAAAACAGTCTAGGCAACAACTAGCGCGTGCACAGTGACAAAGAAGGTTTTTCATTTCACTTTTCAGGCACTGTGATGCACAAAAAGGTATCGGTAAAAGGGATACAAAGTAGGCCTTGTGGGTCCTGCAACGCATAGTGAATGGGGAAGGCAGAAGAATTTTCTGCACAGGGATACGAAATGGGCCTTGTGTGTCCTACAATGCAAAGTGAATGGGGAAGGTGGAAGAATTTTCTATACAGGGATACGAAGTGGGCTTTGTGCGTCGTGCAATGCAAAGTGAATGGGGAAGGCGGAAGATTTTTTAAAGTCCAATGTGGGTCCCGGGGAGCAGCTATGCGGATATGGGGATAAGAAGTGGCCATTGGCCTTGTGGATGGAAGCGTGACTCAGTATCCGTCTATCTTCAGGAACAAGGTGGGCAAGGTGAGTGGCGCTGTATTCTGCAATTGTGCCTACACAACAAAATAATTCCAAAGACGATAAAAAAATTTACCTGCTTGGTACATTATTTTTAGCCCGTTCAGTGTTCAATGATATGCATGGGTCTCCAGCAATGTTGCCCTGACGTTGTGCATGCATGCGCGAAGGGCCTGCAAGCATGATCGGGCTAAATTGAATCAATTGCAACCGGAATTAGTGGAAGTTTTCCCCACATTATATCCTGGCTTGTTGCCATGGGGAGACCATTATCTTGGGCACAACTTACGCTAATCCTTGGATATGGATGAGTCCAACCTGCGTCAGCTTTTGTACATCATCATGTTTCAGAGTGAAGGCTCAGTGCAACGTGTCGATGGAAGACCTGGACACGTACCACCATTATGTGAACATTGCAAACGAGGCCGTGTGTACTACCCGCGAGGGCGATCCCTCTCTCGTAATTAACTCGCGAGGAGTAAATTTGTCACTCGTTATTTTGCGAGGGCACTGGTACTCGTTAAGAATTTACCTCGCTCGTACACTCTTGTTGCTCGCGAGTGTTGGAAGAAACTTTTCGGAAGAAAGTTTCCCTTTGCTCTAAGTTTTCTGGAAAAATACCTTTTTCAAAGAGTTGTCCATGTGCATTTGATTTTTTATTAAATTCACAGGAGCCTTTAAATTTGTACAGAATGTGAAGACAAAGCGTTATAGATAAATACTGAAATCTTGCAGTAGTAGTGTGAAAGTAGAATTCCTCATTGAATCATTTTTTATCAAAACAAATGCAAATCATTCAAACTTGAGGGTGTGTATATGTGTTTTCTGCCACTTGAAGTAGAAATTGCCACAATGTTTGAATGTGTCCCACTCTAGAGCACTGAAAATTGTTTGCAGATTTATACATTCTTCAGTATGAACTGGTTAAGATTCCTCTCCAATTAAAAATAATTATGAGCACACCTTCATCTTCTGAGGAGATATACAATTATTTGTTGTACTTATTGCTTGAATACAGATCGATATTGCCTCAGAGACTGGGTTATGATGGAACGAGACCAAGCTGTTGCTTCATATGAGAAATTCATTCGCTGCAATGGCTATCCAGATGCTGTGCTTCGACTCTTTGGCTCATCAAGAAATGGATTTGGATTTTGGAACAGTGACATGGACATCTGCTTGAAATTCCGGGATAGTCAGAATCCAGAGGTTAGTTACACATTTATTAAAATACAATACAATTACAACTTAAAACATATATGTAAATTCTGGTCTGCATTGTTTTGGGAGTTTTATGAATATTTCTATATTCCACCTTGCTAACTTTAATTACTGTGACATTCTGCAAGATGGTGCAGCACTTTCCCACTACTCAGTGCAAGAAATTTGCCCACACAGCCCAGATGTGGTGATAGTAGTTACGAAAAAATTTAAAACTTGTTCTTAACTTAACATTAACTTAACCTCTGAATAAGCAGATCGAATACCACCATTTTAAAATTGACACCCTAAAAACAGCAATACATCTCATGAGAAGAGATTGCTACTTTGTATCAGTTGATTTGAAAGATGCTTACTACTCCATCTTAGTGTCAGAAACTCACAGGAAGTACTTAAAATTCAAGTGGAAGGGAAAATTATTCCAGTTTAAGGCAAGCCAAACGGGCTGTCACCAGCCCCACGGCTGTTCACTAAAGTTTTAACACGAGTCTTGTCCCTTCTCAGGAAACATTGTCACACCAACATGGCCTATATAGATGACCTGTTGCTATAGGGTGATGATGCTGAGCAATGTGCACAGAATGTTTCCGCTACTATTTCGTTGGTTGACAGTCTAGGGTTTACAGTTCATCCTTGCAAGTCAGTGTTGGTATAGTTACGGCGAGATTAAAGGTTTACACGATATTCGATTTAGCGTGCGTGCGTGTATAGGGAGTGGAGAACACACTCTTTATAATGTGTGTGCAAGAACGCAATACACATGGTTGCGATTGGCCCGGATAGACCGCTAACCCCCAACCTATCCGAGCCAATAAAGTCAACGCAATCCCCGTGTGCGTCGCCGAACACAATACACGAATAAGCAGTTGGCAAACTGGTGTCAAATTCACATATTTATCAGCTCATATTCCGCGCGATACACGAAGAAACACGCAATGCCTCACTGACATTATTTCGGTGTCCTGTGTGAGAACAAAACTGTCCGTGATTAAAACAAAGATTCGATAACTCCAACGGAGAGGATTGTGAGTAGCGACCCAGCGGCTGAATGAATCCCCACACATCAAGGCTATTTGCATTCGAAGCAGCCACTTCACTAAAACAAAAGCTTACAGAATTTTTCCATAAAATATAAATGTGTACGAGAAAAAGAATATACCAGTGCCCGAATATGATTTCGCAAACAATTTGAAATGATTATTTTTCCTAGCTGCACAATCATGCAAATGGATTTTTGGCAGAAAGCAAAGCCGTAATTTCTTTGGTCTACGGTGCTCTACCTACCCAAACAGGCACTACATGTGCAAATTTCCCATGCGCATATTATTCATTTGCTGAAAAGATTTGATCACCTGTGGTGCACTCTGACCTCTCACAATGCAGCGTGGCCTCGCCACCATGATCGTCCTTCTTTTCTCAGCGCTGTAACCGAACGGATGTGTCTTTTGAGGCATCTGATAACCTTTCCTTCCTTTGTAATTAAAGTATAACCTGGATTTTATCCATTTATTGGTAAGAGTGTTCTTTTCGTTTAAATTTTGTTCTTTTTTCAGTTTTCTTGCATGTGCACTCTGCAGGTGTTTACCGTCGGTACTACGAGGATCGTTCCAGCTACGCTGTGTCTACCCTAACAATGAAATATAGGTGTTAGCTGGTTGAATTCATGGGTTGCTGTCAGGATCTGTCATACTCCCCTGTCTTCTTGGGCTACCAGGGGGTTCCAGCCAGGATCTGGCCAGGCCCTTGGTTTGTTCAGCTTCGTAGAGCTGACGGGGAAGCTCCCTGGTCAACTGTGGAAGACCCGAGCAGGGACACTGCCAGGATCTGGCAAGGACCCTGTCTCCTTGGTCAATTGCTGGCCTTGCGAGCCAGCCAGGACTCCCACAGAGTACCTCATCAGACGTCTCCGGGGCCTGTCCTACCATCATTACAAGGTACGTCGTGTCACGCAGAGGAATCCACGCAGCATTCCATGGCAACACTGCAGAGTACCACCCGCCGTTCGACATCGGCCTAAAACACCACTTTTCCAGAAGCCCCCGTCCCCCCGTGTGTACTCCATCTCGCCCGTATACCGCAAGTGCAGGGGCCTGCCCCATCTGGTGCGCCATCGAGCCATGACACCCCTTCAACCGCTAATCCCTCTTCGGGTCCCACAGAGCTTATTGGAGTTTTTACGCCTCTGAGGCTTCAAGCTGTCTTAGCCCATCCTTGGCCTCGGCTTTCAACTGGGTATCACTGGGTCATCTGACCTCATCTCTCCTGGTCCCTCTGCCTGGAATTCTGCAGTTCCTGTTGAACCTCATTTCCTTGTCCATTACTCCATTCACTAAATTCTCAATTATCCAGTAGTATGCCCTCACTCACTCGACCCGCAAAGCAGCTGCCGTGAATCTCCCTCTTTTTCTTAGTGCCATACGATACGGACGTGTTTTTGTTCTCCGAATGTTTTTCAGGAATTTCTTTAGCTACGTACGTTTATGATGTTATTTCTCGATTGCGGGTACACCATGGAATCAATCTCTTTTAGGCGCCATCGCGAAATTGACTAAGCGTTCCTTCCGCGGTTTGTTGGCATTCTCGCTGACCAGTCCATCGTTGTCAAGGAGGGCGAGAATCCGCGCCTGGACGGCGGTGTGCACGCTTGCGTGGCTAAGTTAATGAGCAGGGCAGGCCGTGCGCCTTTGTTGTCGCAATAGTGGATATAATGAAACATGACCAACCTCATGAATACAGATGGCAGGACGCAGAACGTCTGTCCTTTAAATACAGTATGGCAAAAGTTGTGATACATTATTCGTGCATTTTATTGACAGGAATAGGCATTCTTCAATCAAGATGTATCAGTTTTTGTTTGTTTTGCAAAGTGTGCATAAAAACAATAAACCAGCCATTTTCAATCGTCTCCACCAGAGCTCTTATGTAATGATGCAGAGGGCACGAACGCAGGTAACACGCTTCCTGCCTTGATAATATTTTGATAGCCAAAAATAAAAATTTTTACTTGCAGTTTATCTCCTCTGTAGGTCCATCCCTTGATTTTTTTTTTTACCATTTATAATATTTGCCCAGTGGTCCTCATTATTTTGCCATTATTGAATATAAATCAGTCTTTCTAAAGAAATCAGGAAAAAAATGAAAGCCATTTTATGACACATCCAATCGAACAAATGTTGACTTGGTAGTACTGCTGCTAAGCAATGTGGCCCCAAAATCAGCACCTTGATTGGTCCACGAAAATGTTGGGGCATTCCAGACATCGCAACTGACCAATCTACAACTGGAGCAAGACCCAAGACGACATCTTGTTGATTGCCTTTTGTAAAGATTTCGTGGTTTCCTCGATCATCGTTTAGTCTTTCCCCGAGACCCCAGTGCTAAATGGCAGATCGTGCAGAATGGGTCCTCTTTATGGTTAGCGTTCTGTTTAGCAAGTCCAAAACCGTGGAAGGGTGCTGTACAAAAATAATCACTGGAGCCCGGAACTGAGACTGATATCGTGACAGCCGCACCCGCATGAAATTCCCACGCTTTTTCCTTGGCAATGGCCCAAATCTAAACGACTGTTTGCTGAGTAAAGGTTGAACAAGTAAAAGGCAAATTGGGTACGGAAAACTGGTTTTAAAAGGGCTTGGTTACGTAATCATGTTGTGCTCCTCAGTAAAAACCAACTCAAAATCATCAAACATGGCACTTTTGAACCAAACCAAACTTGATAAAAAAGCCAACACACCAAGAAAAATAGATAACGAGTTTGACAAATTTGACACCGCAAACATCTGCACACTTGCGTGTTCGGACATACGATAGGCCGCATAACATAATTGTTGTAAAACACAAGTGGTGAGAATTCACTAATAATTAACAGAGAAGATGCAACGTACGGCATTTCCAAGGCTCAAAAATGGTATATTCTTACTACCTCCGATAATGATTATGTATATTCAGATAATATCATATGCGTCGATCTCCAAAAGCTCCGCCTTCAAGTTCCATATAAGGCCAATGATGCTTGAATAGCCGTAAAAGACGATGTTTGATTGGATGCATGTTGATTGTAGTAGGACTCGTGCTCAATCTTAAGGCAACCCCGGAGAGAAGCCGATTTTACCGGGCGGACCTGTACCAGCGTGTACGCAACCAGATTTTGTGAGCGAGGTGGCCTATAAACTTGTCTTTCGTTTGGTCAAGCTGTTGTACATATACGTTGTGATAGCATTTTCAAGATTCCTAGTAGTTGTTCTAAAATCTCAAATAACAAAATGCCGTTATCCGTAAAATGCCCCTTTGGCCACGTGCATGTACATATACATGTATATGCACATGTACGTACGTAGATGTCTATGCATGTCTGACTGCGAGCCGAACCAAACCAGACCTTGGCGCTTGAAGCATTGGTAAATTTCCACCTCTTCTTTGTTGAGAGGCAGAATCCTTGTGTCTGTTTTATTTTAAATCGTACAATTTCCTGTCAATTTGAAATAATGTGGTCTGAATATTTTTAAAGTATACTCAATGGATA